AGGTATACCTATGATGAAAATTACAGGCCTCTCTCATCTTTTTAAGTGGGGAACTTGCACAATTGGTGGCTGACTAAATACTTTTTTGCCCCACTGTATCTGAATCGTTGACACATTGCACTGGCCTCCAGAAGCTTAAAATCAGCAATACTGTACATATTTATATTCACTGCCTTTGATACTTATCAAATGAATATGGGTGTATACATTTGAAGATGAACTGATATAACAGATACAAAGAAGCCTTGTAAAAAGCATATATCTTTATGATAAAAGATGCCAATGTATACAGTTATAAGAATATGCTATTTTCTTGCTGGACGTTATTAAAGTTAAAAGCTAGTGATAGGACTTTTCTTACTATGGCTCTTTCCAACAGCACTCTTAACAGTAGGAGCATATTCTTAGTTATGGAAAGGATTTGGATAAGACTAATGAAGTCTTATTCATTGGAACATGTATAACATTAAGCACAAAACCACAAAACCACCTACAGAATTGATGCCCGCTAGGAACCCCGATTGGCTTCTTGTGTTTAGGGAATACATTCTCCACAAGCAAACTGTTGCCATGTGAAGTGAATTCTTGAAAATACAGCTTTGGCACATGGATTTCACATAGATTTGAGTAGGATCTAAATGCAACTCACTTGCCATTGGCTCTCTAGAGCAAGTTAGAGATGCCCAAATACATTATGTGTTTCGGCTATCAAGATATCCAAGATAGCATTAAATAAATGCAGGTTCTCTTCCCTGGCATACTATATGTGGCACAAAGTGCAGTCAGTCTCAAAGCAAGATAGGCAGGAAATAGGAAAAGGGGAGTATGAAGAGAAAAAAAAATCCCTCCTCGTTTTTCAGAAATGAGTAACCAAACCACAGGGGGGCTGACTTATAGCCAAACAGGAAGTTTGAGGAAGGGATTCAACTGCAGTTCAAATCTTAATCAGCCTCCATCTTGATCAGATAGAACTTTACTGAAATGTACAAATGCTGCCTTCCCTGATGTGGTGTCCTCTGGAGGAAGTAGTCTGCAGCTCCCATCGTTCACAGCCAGGAGGGGGGTTCCTTTATACCCTTGTTCTGGTTCGTTAGCTGAGTTGGATCAGTTTGGCCATAAGTACTAACACAGCAACCCATGTGCCTGCGCTGCTGCTTATATTAGATGCACATCATCGAGATTGTCTTCTGCAGGAGTGGGAGGGTGGCTGCCAAGGCTGAGGAGGACATCATGCCAAGGAAGCCGACACCAGAAAGTAAATTGGTCCCGCTTTTGGTATTATTCCACTTCATTTCTGATGCAGGAAAAAACATCTCTGTAGGTCAGTTACTGCTCACCTCTTCTGTAGAAAGGTCCGCTGTATCAAAAATAACTTGCCTGACAGGTTAAACTCTGTCTGCTGATTCTGGACTGGCGTCATGTAGTGCCCTTAGTTTTATACTTCTCAAACAAAGCGTTCCTGTTTGTAAATCTGCCCTAGTTTCTGGATGCAATCCAGTGGCAAATATTTTACCTTGGAGAGATGGCTTTCGATATTAATTCCATACAAACTAAATTCCAGCCGTTGATATTGAACAGGATTCCTTCGCCTTCCCTTGTGCATTATGCAACCCCAGCCTTCTGTCAGTGAGAACTCTCTGGCATGTTGGCTTACCCACATCAGAAGCATTGCTCGAGATTTCCTTGCTGACCCAGCCCCCAGGAAGCACCTCCACCTTGGCCAGGAGGCAAGCTAGAGAGCCCAGTGGCCTTATTAAGGATTGGGTTCATAGCTTGCACTAAGACGGATGGTCGCATTCTTGCTTGTGGCTAAACTTGTGTAAATTCAGCCATGGTGGTTTGCCAACCCGGGCTCGTGAGTCAGCATGTTGTGCAAGCCCATCCAATTAGGGTTTATTGAGCAAACCATTTTAGGCCAACATAGGTTTAATAAGTATCCAGTAACTTACAGGGCAGTTATATCATTTTAAATGAGAGCTTGCTTAGTTTATTAATGGCAGAATCAAAGGAGTAAAGGGGAAATCTAAGCCTATAATCAGTCTGCCTGCCTTTTTATTTATTTATCAATTACATTTATATGCCACCCAACTCTCAGTTTGCTTCCTTATGATAATTCTTACAGCTTTCACCTATTTTAATTTCCCTTAACTTATGAAAGAAGCATTCACAAAACAGAATAACTCATGCAGGAGAAAGACAGACTGTGTTTATATATTCATAACTGACTATACCCTTCTATTTAGAATGTAACTTTTCACAAACATTACATTTTTCAGTTAAAAATAGGCTGACGCCCATCACATTCTATCAAGATTCCATTCCTTTTGCTAATCACTGCTTGATAAGGCATTTTAGAAGTGTATCCCATAAATGTAGATGACATCTAATTTAGGCTCAGATTTATATGGATTTAAGAAAATTAAAATGGGGCAGCGTAAGAGTTGGAAATTTTCTTATATGTTGGCATAGGAGAGAGAAAACCCTAAATCCATCAGGTTCTAACACAAACCTGAACTCCAGCGTACCTTTTGCCCAAAATACGATGGCTGCAATTATTGTAATTGGCAGCATTTGTTACATCCTGAACATGCACCATAATGAATGGAAGAGTCAGATTCTACCAGCCTCTTGCAAAGTGCTATAAACTTTCTAATTCTCTCTCTCCCACTTACCCTTCAGTAAATGTCGTTGTATGACAAATGTCAAAGGAATGGAAAGTTACTCAGTAACCATTTTTTATACCCTTGATCTTATCAGTGAGCTGAGTTGGATGAGTTTGGCTAATAAGTACTAACCCTGCAACCTAAATGCCTGTGCTGTATATATCAGATGCACATTACCAAGACTGTCTTCTGTAGGGGAGGGAGAGTGGCGACCGAGGCAGATGAGGCAGCATAGAGTGAATGCAAAGAGCATGGTGGTGCCCTACTCAGCTTCAGCTCCTGGGTTGGTAGTGTTGCTTTCACCAAACTGGCACTGGCACCTTCCAGGCCATCGGATTACAAGCCCCATTATCCCTGGCTAGCAAAATGTTTGGCTGGGGGGCGGGGGTAAGAACTTACAGACCAGGACAAGCGGTGGGTACCAGCTTGAGGAAGGCTCAGATGGCCCCTTGGCAGCTGCAGCCAATAATGAGCCGTGTTTTGTTATTCCTTAAGCACACCAGCTTGCATTCTGAAAGGGAAGGGAGGGTGATTGCCTTTCTGTCATGAGGTGCCACTCCCTGGCTTGCTGAAGCTCTGCCACCCTGACCTCCTCTTTCATGTGTGCAAGGAAATAATTGGCACACCCACATTATTCTATCCCATGCAGAGCTTGGCGTGTTCTGGGCCAGGCTACCAGCCTCTCTTATGAGACTTCAAGTTCACATTTTGGTTTCTAAGTGATTTAACTTAGAAACTTTCCCCCAAGTTTTCAAATGTTTCTCAACATCAGGGTTAGATTCGCACCAAATGTTGGTTTTCCGGGTGACACCAAGATTCCTTATAGTAGGTTTAGACTTTTAGCATTTGCAGAATCTGTATGTGTACCAATACAGTATACTGGCTTTTTCAGGCATGTATGAGTCTTTATTTAGGAATAAGGACTCCTGTCCTCTGAAATACCATTTCCCCAGAGGTCTGTTTGGCCTCATCCCTTCTCTGCTTTAGAAAAGCATTGAAAGCCTGGCCTTTTGAACAGACCATGAGCTGAAGTGGCTTGTGAGCCTCTGTGTAATGAATAAGAATGGTTGAAATTGTTTTTTTATGTACTTTCGCAAAGCAGGAAGTTATTTATTTTATGTATATGATTGTTTTTATTGAGTTTTAAATTGTAACTCACTTTGAGTTTCTCTGATTAGGCTTCCTTATAAATCTAATATATTACTATTTGTGTTGTTGTTATTGAAGGGTGCATGCCTGCATTCATAGATCATGTTTGTTAAAATAACACGGTGGGATGTCTTCTGTTCACCCCAATACTTGAGTTATTAGATAGCTATTGTGAAATACATAGAAAGTAATCTACGGTACATTAAATGAGCCTTCTGCCCATCTGGGTCCTCAGTTTCTCCCTCCTTTTCTGTCCATCCAGATCCGAGATGAGTGGGGGAACAAGATATGGATCTGCCCTGGTTGTGAAAAGCCAGATGATGGCAGCCCAATGATTGGGTGTGACGACTGTGACGACTGGTATCACTGGTAAGTGGTTGAGGCACCATGCTGCTTCTGAAGTCAGGTGGTAGAACTGTTCTGGGACTTCTGGGAGTTGTAGTTCCAAACCTTCAAATTATATAGCAGTTGTATGTCACCTTAGCCCCTTGGAAATAATGATTTCTTTTATAGGCTTGCAATGCTGTCAGCCTGTTGTAATCAGCCGGAGGCATTCAGACAAGATCTGAAAGCAAAAGTGCCCAAATTGGAGCTCTTGTCTACATGTGGCCATTTCTCAAAGCTTTGGAGGCAGTACTTACAATTAGTCTATGCTTTAATAGAGGAAGTATAAAATGCATGGGAATAACCTCATTAATGTATTTAATTGTATAAGTAAATGTAAAATCAAATTAAATCTAGTTTATTTTTTTGTCCAGCCCTTCCTATGTTGGAGACATGCCATCCACAGGCCTAACACAGCCTTCATTTCAAATGATCTTATACACCCCTATCTTGAGCAAACAGGCTTCTATACCAGCCAAGTGATACATTTGGCCTGTTCGTACTGTCTGCGGTATTGAATTCCTTCTTGCAAAGCACTGATGTGAATATAGAGTTCTCTGAATTTTCATTACTTAAATAATCCAAAGAGTATTTTTCTGAACTGAAAAATAGACCTGTTCTACAACTGAAAGGATTTATTCAGTGAACTGAGTAATCGTTCTACACATTTAAACAGACAACTGATCCCAGTGACTATTAAAAAAAAAA